ATGCATCCTGATTGCATGTTCAGTCAATTTCAGACTGTGGAAGCTGGTAAAAATCTTCAATATCTTCATCTTTGGCCTTAGTGGTTGGTGAGTAAATTTGAATAATAGTCGTATTAACCGGTGTTCCTTCTAGATGTATGGATATTAACCCATCACTGACAGCATTCGTACTTCAGGATAGATCTTGAAATGTTCTTTTTGATGATGAATGCAACGCCATTCCTCTTCAAGTTGTCATTCCCAGCATAGTAGAGCATGATTGTCCTGTTCAAAATGGCCAATACCAGTCCATTTCAGCTCACTAATGTCTAGGATAGCCATGTTTATGCGTTCCATTTCATTTTTGACGATTTCCAGTTTTCCTAGATTCGCACTTCATGTGATTATTAATGGATGTTTGCAGCTGTTTCTTCTCGTTTTGAGTTGTGCCACATCTGCAAATGAAGGTCTTGAAAGCTGGACTCCATCCATGTCATTAAGGTCGACTCTACTTTGAGGAGGCAGCTCTTCCCCAGTTGTCTTTTGAGTGCCTTCCAACTTGGGGAGCTCATCTTCAGGCACTATATCAGGCAATGTTCTGCTGCTATTCATAAGGTTTTCACGGCTAATTCTTTTCAGAAGTAGACCGCTGGGTTCTTCTTCCTAGTTTGTCTTAGTCTGGAAGCTCAGCTGAAACCTGTCTGCCATGGGTGACTCTGCTGGTATCTGAATACCGGTGGCAGAGCTTCCGGCATCATAGCAACATGCAAGCCCCACAGTACAATACACTGACAGACACGTGGGGGATGGTACTTCTTACAATATTGAAAATGAAATTGTATCTCTTAGGTAATTTACTGGAAAAGTAGTGATTCTATTTTCAGCAGCTTAGTGGAGCCCTGGTGGTGCAGTGGTTATGCGCTTGTCTGCTATCCAGAAGATCGGCGATTGGAACCTACCAGCTGCTCCATGAGAGAAAGATGAGACAGTCTGCCACCATAAAGATTACAACTTTGGAAACTTAATGGGGCTGTTCTACTCTGTCCTACAGGGCCTCTATGAGTTGGAATTGACTCCACGGCAGTGAGTTTTTTGTTTTGTTTTGTTTGTTTTAATGTAGTTATAGCCAGAGATTGAAGCCAGAGAAAAAGTATTCTAATTTCCTAAACACTTGGAGATTTCGGCTTAGTTTAAAAAAGTCTCTTCTTGTCACTGAACACATTTGGAAACTTGAATTTCAATCTCTTTTCTCTTTAAATGATAGTGTAACAATTGAAATTGGCAAAAGAATGAGTGATTCTAGAAGACCATTGTACTTCTAGGCCCTTGTCCTCAATAAATATTTTTGAATTAATGAATCAGTTAGGCAATTTGATAAAAGTTGAAAATGTTTGCATGGCTTATCAAAGGTATGTTGTTATATTATTTTTAAAGAGGGCAAAATAGTGATTCTGTCTCTTAAATACATGAAAGTATTACCAAAATTCCTTTATTCTAGGAAAGAAAATTATATGGTTGAATGGAAGGTTAGGAGATGAAGGGACAAGTTTATATGTTGGCCTTGGGGGATTGCTGATTGATCTTGTTGTTTTTAAATAGTATATGCCACACACACAGACACACAAAAGGTTTCTAAGCTCAAGGATCAGTGCTGGTAAATGTGACAATCTGAGGTGTAAACAGATGAATATTTTTATAGCAGTGGTTACATATTTAGTAGGTACTTTAATAATTCAACTATCTGATCAATATTAATTTAGCCTCTGTTTCCACTTCTGATAACAACTCCCAGACATTTTTTGGGAGTTGCTGTTCTGTCATTGGAGTCAGTCTTAGTGGAAGACTGTCAATCAAGGTGCTTCTCCCTTTGCTGGTCAAGTTGTGAGGCAAGCATATGCTCTGTTCCTGAAATTCCACTCAAGTGATACAAAGTTTTGAGCTCAATCAGCTCTGTGGCTGAAAAAACTGCACCATGATTTCTGCCGTTTTTTTCAACCACAGAGCTGAAAAAACTCTGTCCCTGGAACTGTCCTAGCCAGTGTTCCTCAAAACATGCTTCCTTGGCTGTTTCTTCCATTCCAGGAGTTACCCGTATTAGTCTAATACACTCTTTAAAAAAATAGCATCTATGTTGCTAGCATCAGTTTTTGCTGATTATATTCAAATAATTCTGTTTCATTTTAGGTGTCATGAATATTGTTACTTCAGAAAAAAATAAGAAGTATTTTAACTTAAAACACAAGTTATTTTAAAGAACAACACTGAGTATTTGTACAAATGATATGCACATATAGCAAAAATTTTGAGAACTGGTAAATGACTAATGATTGGAAAACATCATTACAAAAATTGCCATTAACAGTGAGCTATCTGGGCACATTTAGAAATTAAACTTGGGATATCTTGAAAGAAAATTTTTTAAAGTATCAAGGATTATATTTTTGAAACTGATCCTATTAATAAGAAACAAAAATATGGATATGGAAAAATATATTAATTAGTATATTAATGATCACAAAGATCTAAAAGATACCCTTGGTCAAGATTAGGCCTTTTTATCTAAAAACGTTTGTTGCCTGTAACAGAGAATCTCATTCTTCTTTTTCCAATTAGGATATTTTATTTATTTTTGACATGGTATTCCCCAATTAGCAAAACGCTAAAGGTACAAATCTCCATCAACAAAAGCAAGAATCAATGATGCAGATTTTGTGTGTGTGAGCCAGAATCACACATTTGAGACTAGATGTTTCTTGTTAGATGTGTAAGTGATTTCAGCACAGTTTACACTGGACACATTGTAATAAATGCCATGAGTGCCTTTACCTGTATCCCAACTCCGAGGAGCAAGTAATGACTCCTTTATTGCCCCTCTTGTCTTGAAGTTCTCTGAGTTCTGGTTTGGGACTGAAACATCAGGAGATTGAAGACTTCCACTCCACCGATTTTATTTTCTTCTCTGAATTTTTTTCAAAAAATATGATTTGGAATGAAGTTTGGACTAAATAAAGATTTTGACACCTGAAAATGTTTTCAGCAATTGTTTTTTTCCAAGTAATCACTCCAGTGAAACAGTGATAAAAGTGCAGGTCACTTATAATCCCCCCCTCCAATAATTAACTCTAGGGAAAGATTCAGGAAGTGGAGATTTTACTTTGAAATGACATGACACCAAGCCACCGATTATGTTTCCAATATGACCTTTATTGAGCATGTACTGCTGTGACGTTTAACATCAGTCAATGAAAGATTGCAAACTATGCATGTCAGCGAGGTTCTCCCATGAACAAAAGTCCATTTTAAATGCACCAGTGAGGTAAACATAATTATTCATATATAGCTTTCTTAAGGCTAAGAGAGTTCTGTGTTTCATTTATTATTTTTGGCTCAGTTGGTTCTTTGCGTAATACATCTCAAGAAATCCCTCCCCCCGAATGCCCCTCTTCCAACAGCTTAGGAAATTGGCAAATTCCCCAGGTACATACAATATCATGCATTTGAATCCCCCAAAGACTGAGGAGGGAGCACCCTGAGCTTGCATGCAGTTCCCTCATATTGCACAAAGTAAAATACAACGTCTGGAGCCCCCATGGGAGAACCCGTTCTGTTTTGAAGCTGTCAATCACATGCATTTTGAAATTGTCATATGGCTTAACCTTTTGCAATGGACTCAAATCTTAGTCACTCTGGGTGACTTCCTTTACTATGGCGTGTGAAGTGACCTTCTCTACCTTTTTAGTAGACACTAGTTTCTCCTCAAAGGTCTCTTCATGCTCTTCAACCTTTTGAGTGACGGTTACAGATTTAGTGATGTACTTGGTAGCACCGTCTCCCCCCTCACTGGTGATTGTTTCCACCTTTTTGGTCACCACCACTTTCTCCTCGCTTTTATCACCTCCTTTCTTTTCATCAGCTGGGCTCAAGTCTAACCCATTTGTGACTACCCCTTTCTCCTCTTCTCCACTGCCCTTCTCCTTAATTTCCTTCTCTTCCTCCTTTTTTCCTTCCACCTCCCCATTTATAGCTATGTCTTCCTTTGTGGATTCCTTTAAACCTTGGTCACTTACTTCCTCCTTGCTCCTTCCCTCTTCTTCTGCTTTCTCCTTCTCCTTCTCCTTCAGCTGTGGCTTCTCCTCCTTTTTGGCATCTTTCTCTAAGCTCACCTTTACGGGTTTGGTGACTACCTCCTCCACAACTTCCTCCTTTACTGGGGATTCAGCTTTCTTCTCTGGCACTTCTTTTGGTTTCTCCTCCTTTTTCTCTACCTTCTCTTCCTTGGGAGATTCCTTTGCTTCTTTCTTTTCCTCCTCAACTTTCACTTCTTCCTCTTTCTGCTCACCTTTTCCAGCTTCAGCTTCTGCTTTTGGTTTCACCTCTTCCACGGGTGATTTTGGCACAGGGGACTTGGCTTTCTCTGGCTTTTCTACCTTGGCTTCTGGCACCAGCTCTTCTTTGGCAGCCACTTCTTCAGTCTTCTTCTCAGTTTTCTTTTCATCCTTAGCTTCAATTTCCTCTCCTTCACCTTCAGCCTCTGTTTCTCCTTCTTCCTGCTCACCTTCCTCTTTTTCACTAGACACTTCCTTTTCGGATCCTCCTTCTTCGGCTTGGTCTGATTTAGCACCCTCTTCTTCTTCCTCTTCTTCCTCTTGGCCTTCTTCTTCCTTTTTACCTTCTTCCTCTCCTTTAACTTCAGGTGCAGTAGCTTTCACTGGAGACTCTTTGGTAGCTACAACTTCTTCTTCAGCTTTTTGTTCCTCTTCCTTTTCTGCTGCCTCTTCTTTCTTCTCCTCTTTCACGGAAATTGCCAATTCCTCTGCAATGGCTGTCACGGCATCTTCCATTTCTGACTTCTCATCTTCCACTTTGGTTTCCTCTATGATCTCCTCAACAAATTTGTGCTGGACCTTTAGCTTGGGAGCCTCTACCTTGGTTTTCTGAATCTTACCAGATATTGTGACTGAGGGCAGCCGGTGTGTATACAGAGGTCCGGTGATGCTTCCAGAAAATGTGCTAAATCTGGTCTCTTCACCCTCTAGGAGTTTTCTGAGGAGAGAATCAAAGAAGATAAGCCATAGTTAACATTTCATTGGGACTTCTGAGCTTCATTACATTATGGGTCACTCACGTAGCTACCTTGGAATAAATGCAATCACCTAAATAAAAGATTTCATTAAGCCAGTGTAATGCCTGCTATCATTTTTTGGGATTTTGTGTCATATTCAGTAATAGAGACAGATTCTCTCTGATGGTATCCTGCTGCAGTAGCTATGCCTGGCCCCTAAGTCTCAGCCCTGCAGTGTTCCATTTGGTGCAACATAAATATGTTAAAAAGCACCCTAGTGTGTAGAAAACTTAGTGACCTCTTTGAGCATTTGGATTTTCAGGATGTATATTAGAATATTTTTAAGCAAATATAATTGTTCAACAATGTTTACAAAACTATTAAGCATACTCCGGAACTTATACTATATCAAATTACAGCTAGGCACTAATATGGATGTGTCAAGTTATAAACTGGTCTTCGATTATAAAGTATATATTTAATTATTCAGCTTTCCTGAGAAGAGAGCTCTCTGAGTGCAATTTACTTTGTAATATTATAATTACCTTATTGGTAGTACAAAAACTGTTGTTTAATCAAGCATCTTCCCCTTTCAGTATAAGTCAACAGAAAGGTTACATCAATTAGTAGACTTATAATCTCTCCTCTCTCCTACTCTACACATATACACACATATGCTACATATCTAGGTATATAATCTATACTCATAGTCCAATATGTAGTATGTCTAGATTATCTCTATAGTTATAAAAATAAATATATCTATATTTTATTTTATCAATCTGTATCTATTTTCAGCCAGATGATGGCAATAGTAAGCTATAATAGAGAAACAGAAATAGGATGTCCTGGTGGTTGTCCTTGACATTATAGTAAAATTGAAAAGCTGAAATCATCAGATGAAATACTGAAAATTATAAATTTGTTTTTGCTTCAGACACGAAGAAAACATTTTCTCTAAAATGCGAAATTTAAACACAAGCGTTGAAATTAATCAGCCCCCCCCAACGTGTAGTTCACAACACTTTATTTCAACTAACGTTCATTCTTTTAAAGCTGTGTGAAAAAATAGTAAAATCATACTTGCAGGTCTTTAGAATAATTCCTTCCTAATTAAGAAAGAAAACTTGCCAGTGGTTTAAGACTGCTTTAAGCGGGGAAGGTTCTGCCCCGTCCGCCTCTGCAGTGCAGTTACTATTCGGCTACGTCGACAGTGATCACCATACCTGTATGCAGCGATCTCGATATCCAGAGCCATCTTGACATTGAGGAGATCTTGGTATTCTCGCAAATGACGGGCCATTTCCCACTTTGTGCCCCGAAGCTCATTTTCCAACTGCTGGATGGTGTCCTGAAACAGACACAGGTCTCCATAGACTTATCCTTCCACATAGCAACTTCCGCCATAAACCGTTTGCTGTCCCCTTCCCATTATCATTCTGCCTTCCCTCCCTTCAGCTCCGCAAATGTCTCGGACCTCTCTCCCATACTTTAAAAAAAAGAAAAAAAAATTAAATTAAGTAAAAATGAATCTAAGGGATTTGCAAACAAACTAGATCAATAAGACATTTCCTGGGAACATCACTACTGGGGACCAGGGGACCGAGAACAAACCTTAACAGGAAACAAACATGCACGGGGGACCCCACGGCTGACTTAGTCGTTCCCTCTGGGCCCTTTGGGCTGAAGCCCACTTTGAGAGTCCTTTGGATCACTGCTGGAAAAGTAGAGAATATGTACGTTTCTACAAAATCTTTTCTAAAGTTGCCGCTTTATCAACTACCTGAATGTGTACTTCCTACTTTAAACGCTCCAGCGTGCAAAAACTAGAAATTACGTTTTCGAAAAAGGTCGGAACTCTCAGGCAGCTGGGGCTGGTGGGTGGGGCAGGAGTGTGGATGGGATGGGGAAGGGCGAGGACACTTTGCTGTAACTAACGGGGGTCTGAGGCGCGCGCGAGTACTGGCGAACCGCCACCAGGGTGCGCGACGGAGAGGGCTCTCGGGCACGCGCGTGAGTGTCGGGGACGCGCGGAGCTGGCGCTGGCGCAGTCTGGCCACGCAGCCGCGGTTCCTACCTGGTAGCTGCTGAGGTCGTGGTTGTGGCGCTCCTCGATGTCACTGAGCTGCCTCTCCAGTGACTCCTTGGTGCCACGCACGGATTCGAGCTCGATGCTCTTGGACTGTAGCTGACGACGGTATTCGGCGATCTCCTCCTTGGCAGAGCGGATGGCCTCCTTGTTCTGCTCGGCCGCCTCGGTGAGCTTGGCGTAGCGGCACTTAAACCATTCTTCTGCCTGGTGCATGTTCTGATCGGAGTGGCACTCGAGCTGGGAGCGGATCTCCTTTAGCGCCGTCGAGATGTCTGTCTTCAGGTAGTCTTTGCGCTCCACGGTGATGTGCGACGCCTGGATCTGGGCCAGCAGGTCGGCCACCTCTTCCTCGTGATTGCTCCGCAGGAAGGCCACCTCATCCTGCAGCGATTGCACCTTCTTGTCCAGCTCCACCTTGACCAGCGACGCCTCCTCGATGTCTTTGCGCAGTGCGCGGATGGCCGCCTCAGTGTCGTCGCGCAGCCGCGCCTCCTCCTCGAAGCGTTCCTTGAGCCGGTGGATGTCTTCCTCCAGGTGGTCCGAGTCCAGCTGTACCTGCGCCTTCTCGTGGTTCACCAGCTCGAGTGTGGTCCGCAGTTCGCGGATCTCCTGGTGGTACGCGTCGCCCAGCTGGGCGTGTGAGGCTTGTTTCTGCCGCAGCGCCTGGATCTCTACCTCGAGTTCCTTGTTCTGCTGCTCTAGGTAGTGCACCTTCTCAATGTAGCCCGCGAAGCGGTCATTCAGCCCCTGCAACTGCTCTTTCTCGTTGGAGCGGGACAGCTTGAAGTCGCCACCGGCCCCAGAGCCGCCGTTGAGCAGGGACGAAGACTGGCTGAAGTCGAGGCTGCTCTCGGCCGAGCTGAGCATGGCCGAACTGTAGGCGAGGCGCGGGGCAAGCGCTGTGCGCTTGTAGGAGGAGGACACGGTGCTGGGCGAGCCGCGGGACCATGACTGAGAGCGGAAGCCGCTGGATGGGGAGCCGCTCACGCGACTGAAGCTTGAGCGGGTTTCGGTTACCCGCCGGTAGGCGGACGGGTTGCCCAGCGAGTCCAACGTGTAGCTCATCTTGGAGGCCTTGGGGTTTGTGGCTGTCACCGCGTTCTGCCGGCCTCGCAGCAGCCCATTTATAGCCGCGGCGCCTGGTCCTGGGCCGGGGCCCCGCCCCGTGGAGGCGGCGGCCGAGGAGGCGGGGACTGCGGGCACTCCCGGATAGGGGGTGGGGTAGGGGTGGGGGTGGGGGACCGGCGGCAGTGATTCAGCGCCCTCTCCTCTAGGGCTTGCGCCGCATCGGACCCCGGACTACGCTGCACTGGTCACTTTTCGGTCCCATATCACTTGTCGCCCCGCAATCCCCGTCTCTCCATTCCTCTTCATTTTAGGATTGCATTTTACACTTTCGGTGCGAGTATTCACCCAACGTCCTTTCTTTGTCTAGTCACTCCTCCCGCCATCCAGGTTGCTCTTCTCTGGACCCCCTAGGCCCCTTGTCCTTCTTTAGCCTGCTGCACTCTTTTCCTCACAGCTTTCTCGTCTTTTTGCCCTTTCTCCATTACTTTTTTCCTTTACCCATCTTCTGTGCTTAATCACTTGCCCATCTTGTTGGCGCCTCTTCTGCCTCCCACTTCTAACCTTTCTTGGTCCCACTCACCCCGCCCCTCAGCCCCTTCCTCCTGGACCTTTTTCTCCTTGTTTCTTCGCCCCTTCTCCTCCCTCCCCTCCCCCTCCAATCCTCTTATTCCTTCCCCCACCCTCTTCTCTCCGGGCCTCCCTCCCCTTCCCCCACTCCTTGTCTTAAAGCAGCAAGAGATGAGCGCAGAGGACTTGGGCCTAGAAGTGGGGGGGGGGGGAGGGGAGTGACGGGGGCATAGTTTGAGGAACAGTCTGAAGGAAAGCTTCGGGAAGCGGACAAAGAGGATAGCCGCGGGGTAGTTACTTGTATGAAAAGTGGGATGTGGCGAAACATCCTGCTTAACGTTTGGGAAACACTCGCAGCTCCCGCAGGGGCAGAAGGTAAGGGGCTTGTACACGCTATGGCGCCGGCAGCACCTAGGACAGCGCCCAGGCCGGCTGCCGGGAGATTCAGCGGCCCCGGGGGTTTGTGACCCAGCGTTGTCTGTCAGGTTGCAGGATTTCCTCTTTTTCCCCCCAGCAAATGCTGTACACTTAAAACGTTTTTTGTAGTAATTCTTTTTGTTTGCAGGAGCCAAGCTGGGGTCGCAGTCTAAGACTTCTCTGCAATGCAGAGTTGGCAAAATGAACGGGTTGCAGATTTTGAAAACAACCAAAATTCATTAGTCAGTCGACAGAAAAAATATACTTACATCCCAATTTGAATTTCCTAACATACGATGAATGCAGGGAATCAAGAGATACAGGACCTGATATTTGAAGGTCAAATATTCCTTGGAAAGGTGAATTTGAAATCTGCTGGGATGAAAAGTCCAGAGAAATATAGTTTGTAAGTTTGATCACTAATAACTGTTTTGTTATCTTTCCGTCCGGTACTCTGTTTAATTGCATGGTTGGAAAGGTGTCTGAATTTAAAAGTTGCCCAAAAGATTCACCACAACCTTGACTAAAACCAAGTATTTTTTACTCCCTTTTAAATGTAATGTATTCCCGCATGTAGATTTCGATGACTGATTTGGAATTGATTTTCCATATCTTTAAACATGTTTATTTAAACAAAGAATCTACCCTTCCTGATTTCTGATGCACTGCTAGCAGTTAACTCGTTCCTTTATTTTGGATTGTGCTTTGAGAGTAATTCAGGCTAAAAAAGTTCTGAATACTGCAAGAAAAAGTGAAGAACAGAATGCTCAACTAATGAGAGTTTGCCTGGACCACCGGCACGAGTGACTGCATATGAAACGCTTGGTGTGGCTGAGAAGAAACCACTGCTTGTGAAAAGTGGAGACTGTGACTTAAATAACTTATTTTCACAGCCTGCTTTCTCTAGTCTCTGTTTTATGAAATGGTAGTGTCATATGAATCAGTAAGTAATCATAAAAATCTTGAATTTCTGGTGAGAGTTTTTTTTTTTTTTTTAAATAAAATCTCTTGGCCCATTTGCATTTTAAAATATTAGGAGTTAATTTAGGGAGCTACCTTTGGTTCATTAATGTGAAACCGCAGCACTGGAGGCTGTGTGGGCAAAGGATGTTCCAGTTTGCTGAGTGATGGGTTATCTTTTGAGGAAGAAGAGCCCATCTCTCAAACTGTAGGGAGAGACAGCTGTTAGAATGAGGGAATTGACGTGTGACTATTATAGCAAAACAAGACTTTCTGATTTCAGATGGATAAATAAGAGAGAAAGAAAAAACTCTGTCTTCTGTAAAGTACTGTCGGTCTCAGGGTTGGACTCAACAGAATATCATCTAGATAAGGCCAAATGCTGATTATGCTGTGATAGACCATTTGTAAAAAGAAAATACAAATATGTCTTATTACTTACTGCTTTTATTTAAAAATATAAAGACTCTTGGCAATTTCGTGTTGCTCGTGCACTGAAAGCACTGTTTGCAATGAGAGCACACAGTTAACCGGCAGGCTTCTGCTGTGAGTTTTCTTCAGGGCTTTCAAAATGAGATACTCTGCAGAGAGACATTGGCACGGGAACACATGCTAACTTCACAGTTAGCCTGTTTTGCCTTGTATCTAAACTAGCTCAGAAATTGTTAAGCTTCCAGCTGGTTCCAGAAAGAGATAAGCATTGCATACAAACAAAATAATGGCCAATTACTCCGGCTAAATCCACTGCCTATAGCTTAAAAGTGTAACTTCAATGTCACATAAAGTATTATTTAGTCTGGGCACAATAGAAAGAAGCAGAGAACGTATAACTGTCTCTTCTTTAAGGAGAAAAAGTTCCAATGGCTTAAAAAATGATTGATTCTATTCCACATTTAGCAAAATATTTAATTTTGTAGTAGATTCACTTCAACTGCTCTTCCTGGAGGTGACTTGAAGGTTAAACACATCAGTGATCTTAGAATAAAAACTTTTTTTTTAAAAGGCTATAACAGATGTCCTTCTCTTTTTGTCTTATGTTTCTGAAGAACATTTACTAGTTTTTTTCATCGAAAGACACGTAAAGTTTTGCATTGTTTTATCCCAATGACATTACAGCTACAGAATCTTCTGAAAATATTAACAAGAGAGAAAATAAGCACAAGGATTTATCTTAATTCACAAAACTGTATCGATGGATTTGAGACTGGCTATGATACTTTTGTAATTTATTTTCAATAGAGAAGTTACACATAGAATTTAAATGTAAGATTTTTTAATGAAATAATCTCTGGATTGTTTCACAAGCTACAGCCCATTTTGAATTGCTTTATAGAGATATACATGGCATGCTCCAATCTCTGTGTTCCTTCAGTAGGTAAAGTGCAAACATTAAATTTGCAGTTAAGATATAGTTATTATGAGGTTATTTAGGGCCTTATCTAATGATAATGGGGGAAGTCCTTTGCATAAGGGGTTTATTTGGTCAAGATTGAAAAATAAAGAGTTGGACATTTTCTCCCTTCTTCCCCTATTTCCTTACATTTCTACATTTAAATAATTTTTTTTCCTGATACATACAAATGCAAGGAGAATGGGATGTGGGAACCGGGCAGCAAACAAGATGCTCCGGAAGGGAGACGCAGCGTCAAATTGATAGAATGTATCTGTACTCCTGATCTGTACTTTCTCTTAAACTACTGAGATGTCTTGCACCTGATCCTCTTGCTTAGGATCTGATTCTAGAACTTATGATGAATAATCATTTATAAATTTTCCTCCGCGAATTATTTACGGGGTTGTTGATGCGGGAAGCTAGGGACTGAGTCTGCTGGAGTGGGGATATAAGGAAAAATAAAACTGTAATACATATTTCTACTTGAACCTTGGGATGTCAAACGTTAGAAGCAGCTTTTGGCTTATGGTCTTTTTACTTTCAGATGTTGAAAGCAAAATGAAAAATATACTCCAGGGATAAAGGCTGTTTCTTGTCAGGAAAATTGGGACGTGCGTGTCCCTATTGTCTTTAATTAAAAGGAGTCCACCTAAACCATGGTGTCCTTTTTCTGATATTATGCCACCAAAATAGGACTTCTTTCCCTTGCCAAATATTTTACTAATTAAATATTGCCTTATTTTTCTGTCCATTACTATTTTTAAAAAAAGCTAATTGAAGTATTTTAAAAATTTAAAGCATTTCATATCTTTATTTTGTTCCAAATATAAACTTAATCAGTTTTGAAATTCTGTATCTGGAAATTTCGTGTTTTATAAGAAAAGATTTAACTTTCAGCTTTAACATAGCTTGCTCTGTGTGTGGTTTTTTTTTTTTTTTGCTGTGTAATGCCTTCACCTTACCACTGTGAATCAGTTCTATGAAAGCCAGTGGAAGAGGACTTAGAATTAAAAAAAAAAATATAGCCTTGCTAAAAATTATTCTAAAAATACAGTTTAGTGGATGCATAATAAAACATTACTACCGTATTAATTTTCAGCATGCTTTTAATTGGACATGTTGGCTTTATCCACAAAGTGGCCTATCTTGAGTATATGCACTTGAATTTTTAAAACACTGCATTGCACATAACTTTGCATCAGTGCAGCCACATAATATTTACAGCATATTTTATCCCAAGCTTACCAAGACCTGACTTAGCAAGGGACATAATTCTTTTATTGGAAACTCTTAATTAAGAAGAGCTTTGTAAAACTAGAGCAGATCAATGATTGATTATCTTTGGACCAAATTTCTGAAGGGAGCTAAACTCAGGAACATGAAAAAGTCGGAAAGATGCTTTACCTAATAAGTCTCATTGTCCCCGAACTGGGTTCTTTCTTCATAATCTTAGCAATTCTGAAAAGCAGTATTCTTTCATAATACCTCTCTGAAAATGGGTTCACTGTCTTAGCTGTCTTTCGTCCTTTACATAACCAAGAACATCACATATTTTAAAACATTTTTTGTTAAAATTAATATGTACTTAGTGTAGAATTTTGCAAGATACAAAGGAATAATTTAAGTATTTTTTTTGGTCTTTTTCTCTGAAATTTAAATG